ATATATTTAATGGCCATTGTCATATTAAAAAATATAAATACTAACACTTTTGACTAATTTCGAGTTCATTTAAAATTGAAATTTCATTTTAAATCTAATTCAATGTTTTAATATACCAACCAACAATCAATTCGTTCTTATTTTCAGTGTTAGCTTGATTGTGTTGAGATTATGTGAATCTAAGTTATCTCATCGTGATGTTATCTGATGACTACATTTAATACAATTGATGTTGAAATCCCAAATATAAAGGGAAAAAACAAAGAGAAGATGAAAATGATAAAAACAAATTATATGACTCAAAATGGAATTGGAAAAATAAAGATTTTCACATTACAATTGTTGTGAACCTAAATGTGAGATATGTCATATTTCAGTCTCTTCTTAGGGTTTTAGTTCTCTCTTGAGATTCCTAGTTCCAGTGCTTGGATTTTGCTATTGGTATCCTCTTCTATGTGTTTTTAGATCTCCTGTTCAGCTCTTCGGTTTCCCCGTGCTATTTCTTCTTCTTTCCTTTTCGTTGTTTTAGGTATTTTGGTACCTTCTGTGATATTTTGTCGTAGGGTCCGATGTCTGATTTTTTCTCCTGAAGGGAATTGGGTGGGATAGTGTGGTAATTCCAGAGTGCTTTACCCTTCATCTACCTATCTTTTGCTTATTGCCAGGTTTGGTTTTGCGCTGATGTTCTTTTGCCTTGCATTTTTACATTTATAATCTGAAGCATGACTGGCTATTATACCTGATATTCTGGTTTTGCTCTTCGTGTTTCTTGTTCTTTTTGGCTTATATGGATTTTGCTAAATATGTTAGATGTCTGCTTGCCTGATCTTTATGATAATTTCTTGAATTAGGGTTCTAAACTTTTGAGGTTGGGTGTGGCTTGATGTTGTATTAGTATCTAGGCAATTTCTGTATTAGGGCTGAGGATTTTGGTGGGGTTTGGGTTTGTTTTCTTCTATTTGTGTTTGTGCTGCTTGGCGTCTTTGAGCTTTGTGCTTGTGGTTTGTTTGTTTTGCTTTCATCTCTGTGCTTCTTTGCTCTTGGTATGGATCATGATTTAACTCTTAAGTTAGCTAGGTTTAAGATATATGATAGGGAGGGGCTGGAGTTATCTGTGAATGATATTGCCTCTAGCATTAATGAATGTGGTCTTAGCTTAATTGGAAAAATATTTGGTGATAAAAAAGCTAATCTTAGTGGTTTAAAGACTACTTTGAATAGCATTTGGATCACTACAAAGGAGTTCAATATTCATAGTCTGGGCAACAATAGATTTCAGTTCCTGTTTCAGTGTGAGGAAGATAGAGATAAGATTTTGCAAGGCAAAACTTGGTCTTTTGATGGTCAGTACATTCTTATGAAACTTTGGTGCCCTGGGTCCAATGACTTTTCTTCCGAGGAGGAAGTTATTAAGATCTGGGTGCATATCTTGAATCTTCCTCTACATTGGATTTCTGTTGACACGGGGTTAAAAATTGGGAAGAGGATTGGCAATACTCTTGACTTTCAAATCCCTGGCACAAGTGATCAACTTGGGCAAGTGGTGAATGTCTTGGTTGAGTTTAATGTGAATGATCCTCTTCATAGAGGAACCCTTATTAAAGTGGGATCTGAATCTACTTGGGTGGATTTTAGATATGAGAATTAGCAGACTTTTTATTTTTATTGTGGTAAAATTGGGCACTCTGATAGAAACTGTGGGATTAAGTCTGAGGATGTTAAGAAAAATGAGTTGAACTTAGGCCAGTATGGAGAGTGGCTGAGAATTAGTTCAGGCTTTTCTAGTTTCTCCAGAAGTCCTGGTTCTCAGAATAATCTAGTGATAAGGAGAAACTTTTGAGGGCTGATCAAATTGTGACTAGGAGTGAAGTTGGAGAGGATTTGAGAAATAGTGTGGCCTCTAATCAGGACACACTTCAGGGGGTGGAGAAAGATAGTAGCCTAGTTGAGACTCGTCAGAGTGCAGAGAAAACTTCTAGGGGCATTGAGGAGGGTCTTATTCCTTGTATCCAGGCTCCTGCTCAAGATCCTGTGATAAACTCAAACTTGGTTGTTTCCAACCTTGTTGAAGTGGCAATTCAACCCTCTACTTCAGGGAATAGAGTTAACCAGAGGAAAAACACTACCTTTTCTAGAAAGGCTAGGAATACCAAGCAGGATGCTTTGAATCTATGTTGGTAGATAAAGTTGGGAGTTCTAGTATTAAGATAGGAGAGAAGGGATCCCTTAAAAGAAGCTGTGAGGATGTCATTGAGGTTGATACCCTAGAAAGGAGTGAAGGTTAGATAGGCAAGAAAACAAAGTTGTCTGGAGATATGTTGTTGCCTGAGGTGGAGGAAACCAGCCCAAACTTGTCCCGCAGTTTCCAATGAAGGTTGCTGTGTGGAATTGTAGAGGTTTGGGGGGGCCTCTACAATTTTCCAATTCAAGGAAGCCTTAAGGCTCCACCACCCAGATTTTGCTTTTCTATCTGAAACAAAAAAAAAAAAGGAAAAAAAGAAAAATTTGTAGTAGCTATGTGTAAGAAGCTTAGGCTGCAGGATAGATGGTTGTATGTTAGACCTGAAGGTACTAGAGGGGGGCTTTTCTTAACTTGGTCAGAGAATATTTCTTTGATTGAGGTCAATAATTTAGGGTTCAGTTTGGAGATTTGTTTTAGGTCCAGGGGTTTATCTTCCAATTTTTGGGTTGTTTTTGTTTATGCTAGCACTAATAATGAAATCAGAGCTAGACAATGGGAAATCCTCACTAGGCACAGTCTATACTAGGGTAGTTCTTGGTTCATTTTTGGAGATTTTAATGACTTGTTATGTTCAGCTGATAAGAGAGGAGAAGTGAGAAGATAGGAAGCTAGCTTTCATAATTTTAGAGCTTTCCTTAGGAATTTAGGTGTTGTTGAGACCAAGACTGTGGGTCATCCTTTTACATGGTCCAACAATAGAAAGGGTGACTGTTTTGTTGAGGAGAAGTTGGACAGGTTTTTTCTTGTCTTCTGATTGGTTTCTTCAATTTCCTAATTCTTTGGTGAAGCATGTTAATTTAATGTCCTCTGATCATTGCATGTTGGTGTTGGATTGTATGGCTGAATTATTGCCTGAAAAAAAAATGATTTATGTTTGATGCAAATTGGATTTGTTGATAAACGGATTTTAACAACGTAATTAAAATATGAAAAATAGCAAAAATTGCAGACAATATGACTTTTATTATGTTTCTTGAAGTCGGTAATGACTATTGAAGAAGTCGTTTTTTTATTATAAGAGGTCGGTTTCGTGGTGAACCGTAGTGATTAATGCTAGAATTTAATGTGTCGGACTCCGATCCTTATATTGAATTAAATGTTGCTATTTATAGTAACATTCTGCACGCTTTTTGAGAAGATGCGGCGGCATTTAATGCGAATTGACAACATAGGGGCGGCTATGACGTAAGCAGGTGCGTAGGCAATGATAACGGCATGGGCAACCCATCAGTTGATTGACAGGCGTCACACTTTGTCGGTATGAAGTCGGTTCTTTTGGACTTCGATTTCTTCACGAGTTTGCACTTTTCCCCCAACTCTTTGGTGAGCTTATTATACCGAGGTATCACCCCGATACCGAGGTGGCGTTGGGAAAAACTCCTCGCGGTACCACACTTCAACGTTTTGTCTCTAACAGTCTCCATTAGCACTCCCGAGGTGCCTTTAATTTGTGGAATTCGGATTTAGTGTCAACATAGAGGCCCCTGGCATTAAGGAGTACGCGGATGGGGTGCTCCTTGATGACATTCCCTTTCCAGCCGACCTTCACTTTCGAAGTCCTCCTTAAATCTATCTGGAAGCCCCGAGATGATTTCCTTAGTCGAAAATCTAGTATGCCACTCAATTGTGTATTGGGAGAGGTCAGGAGACAGTTACGAAATGGTCCATAAATGCAAGGAACGTGTCTTTTCTACTATCTTCCCCAACAGACACGTATTAAGAATAACGGCTGCTTGTTTTGACAGTTTTCCAGACACGTGTACGACTGTGATCGAGCTGCAAGCCTTTATGGCATGATTTGAGGTGGTTCTTCTTGCAGACGCGGCGGTTCCACACGCCCTATCATCAACGGTCAAAAATTTCTTATATATATATATACTCACACAACTTCACCTTACGGAATTCTCATCCAAATGCATTTTTCGCCTTTTAATTTCTCAAATCTTTCTCTTTACCCTCTTATTTGAGTCTCCTATTTCTTTTCGTTGTTCCGTTTTGACGATTCACGATTATTCTTCGAGAATTCTCCCAAATTTTTGGTAAGCCCTAACTCTATTCTTCTATTTCCTTAATTTCTTTCGGTTTTTTTTGGTTGTGATAATGGTGGCGGCGAGTGGCGAGCAAGCAGAACCAAGCAACAGTCGAACTGTATCAGATGCGGAATTGGATGAGGAGTTGATAGAGTTAATGGGGGAGTACTACCTGGAGGACCCCGTTTTTGTCGAACGTTTAGATATTCGAAGGAACAACTTCGAAGGGGATGCCGAGGTGGAGCGAGACATCCCCGTCAAGTCGGGGTACTGGAGTCGCCCGGCTCGGCGTTGGCCCGACAACGACGTCTTATTTCTGGCGGAGCCCAGCACCATGACCGACGCCGACGTGGTCTTGATACGTGAGTCGGTTCGGATCCCCACCTCGGTCAGAATATTTGCTCTTTATCCGGGAGAGAGAATTCACTGTCCCTCTTCTGGTTGCGTGGGGATTTTTGCCGAGAGCCTGAGATCGGGTTAGAGGTTTCCCCTTTATAACGTGATCACCGACTATCTGCGTGATTGGGGCATTAGCCTTAGCCAAGTGACTCCTAATAGTTGGATGAAGATCATAGGAATTATGGTCCTCTTGGCACAAAAAAAATAGCCATTCCCGACGATCGACGAATTCAGGAGAATATTTTTCTTTAAAAGGAGTCGGGAGTGTGAGGGTGTCCCACCAACGGGTTGTTTTTTCTGCTCGGCAAAGCCGCAAGACGACCTGAAAATGGGACAACTGACCATTAGGATTCCCGAGACTCTTCATGGCTTCCAAAACGAGTGGTTATGGGTTGGTGGGGATTGGCAGTCTCCCGACTTCCGACGTGAGATGCCAATCGACGGGATGACGGTCCCGACCCAAGTTGTCTCTTCTTTTCGTAAGTTTCTCACTTATACTCAGAATCTCCTGACGAGTTATTTTTCCTTCACTAACAGGTCGGACCTTTTCATATTTGTAGCCAAGAGGAAAAAGGAGCCAAAACTTAGCGGTGAATTTAGAGAAAAACTCGAGGATCTAGCCAAGCTAACCATTCCAGAGTGCAGGTGGAGTTTGTTGACGAAGAATTCTAAACTTGCTGACGCCAAACTCAGAGCAAAGAAGCCAATTCCTGACTTCGAACCTGGTGAGTTCTTGTTATGTTGACTAAACGGATTTTAGTTTTCCTCCCTTTATCTGTTTTGGGGAATTGATTTGACCTTTTGGTGATTCTCCCTTTTCAGTCTACTATCTGCTACTCGGTTTTTTCAGATTCAAATCCGTTCGAGAGGCAAAGGATTACCGTCGCCAATTTTCTGTTAAAGATACCGAGATGGGTCGCATGAATTTCTTGGAGGGGCTGAAGAAGAAAGCGGCCAGCCGCGCATCTGGGGGTGCTGACATTGGGGCTACGTCGGGTCCACCAGTTACGGTTGCGGTACCTGCCCCAGTCACCGAGCTCATTCCGCAACCTTCTCCCACGACAAATGTCGAGCTTGTGGTCGCGGCTCCCATCGCTCCCCCCAAGTTGATAAGGACGCCGAAGCAGCCAACCCCGACCTCCATGTGATCATATTGAGCTCGGAGGAGACCGAGGTGGCCAAAAAAGCTACAGAGGAGACCTCGACTCATAAGAAGAAGAAGACGAAATCAAAGAGAAAAGCTGGCGAGGAGCTCGATACGGAGAATGAACGACGTTCCAAGGCGAGACAGGACGTCGGTCAACTGACCAAGGAGAAGAATGCTCCTGTTTATCAAGACGGGGGCAATACTTGCCTGACCATTTACGAGGAAAGGGTCCTCAATCTCAATCTTCCAGAAGGGGTAATAGAGGATTGGTTCACTCAGTTCCATTCCATGATTATCCCGAAGTTCTCCAACAAATTCCATCAGCCCCCGCATGTGATGGAGGCAGCTCGGGTCCCATTGATATCGTGGGACCCTTTGTCTGGGCGCGGGTGTCTGGGCTATCGAGCGCCTACAGGTTCAGCTATGCCAGGGCTACTTTGGGAAGAGCCTTGGTCGGTCTTTGCGCTATGGAAGACTAGTTTCGCTTGAACGCTGCCACGCTCGCCGAATGAAAGGACAAGGTGGAATTGCGCGACGGTCAGATCATGTCCCTGGAGGCAGACAACGCTGCCCTGACAACCGTTGTGAAAAAAAAACTATCCAGCGGGACGGTCAGATCATGTCCCTGGAGGCAGACAAAGCTGCCCTGACAACCGTTGTGAAAAAAAAACTATCCAGCTCGTCACGACCCGATTAGAGATTGAGGGCTGACCGCCGACAAGAAGCGCTTGGAGGATCAGGTGCGCAAGCTTACGGCGTAAATTTGTGCTTCCGAAATGCAGGCTAGGAACAACGTGAATCGCTTTTTGAAGGAACGAGAGGAGCACCAAAAAACTCGCCAGGACCGTGCCGACAAGGAGTCCCAGCTAATACGCTTGGCAGAGGCGCACGCTGCCAAGCTAGCGAGGATGGAGAAAGAAAAGATTGATTTCGGGGAGCTTATGCGTGCCCAAGGGGTTGAGGACGGCAAAGAGCTCGGGAAACAGGAGTTTAAAGGTTCTGCTGAGATGGAGAGGGACATTGAGCTAAATTCTTGCTTAAACCTCCGTTGGGTGATTGATCGATTTCAGTCCGGGCTGTATGGTATCGGGGATTTGAAGGCCATCATGCTCATGAAGATGGAGAGGTTCGGGTTTGACCCCGAGATCGAGGAGATTCATGTCTCCCAATAACTCGATTTTGCAGGAAAATAGTTAATCCACTATTATGGCCGATTATGTGTTTGATGAATGTTGTTGAATGTGATGTATGGTTTTAAATTTGTTTTTAAAGCCTCGGGCATGTCGAGGAATTTATGGATGAATGTTTGTAATAATTATTCGCCCGGGGGTTGACCGGATAGATTTAATTATTTGTTTAGAAA